ATTCATGTTGAAGCCCTAACCCCGAGTACTTCTGACTATATTTGGAGATAGGACCTTTAAATAGGTAATTCAGGTAAAATGAAGTCATTAGGGCAGGCCTTAATCCACTATGACTGGTGTCCCTATAAAAAGAGGAGATTAAGACAGACACACACAGTGGGAAGACCACGTGAAGAGACAGCAAAAGTGGCTATCTGCAGACCAAGGAGAGAGGCCTCACATGAAACCAACTCTGCCAGGACCTTAATTTCAGACTTCTAGCCCGAGAGTTGTGAGAAAATTAATTTCTGCTGTTCAGTCCACCCAGTCTGTGGTACTTTGTTATGGCAGCCCTAGCAGACTAAGATGACATACAAAAAGACTTATGAGTAAGTAGGGCCTTGCCTAATAATAACTGTTGTGGCAGACCTTTGTGCTGTTCCAAATATTTCCAGCTTGCCACTTCCTGGGAAACGTAATGATATTGTACCTTCCCACCCCCTGAAGAACTTAGGCATGGCCACATGACATGCTTTGGCCAATAAAATGTGACAGGAATTTTAAGAGCCTGAGCATGATTCCCCCTGCTCCTTTTCCCCTCCACCACAGCAAGGAGCAATGCTCCCAAAGAGGCTATACCTTCACCTGCTCCCTGGAACAAGTGATACAGGCCAGCCCCCAGCCAACCTGTGATGGAGTGGTAGTGAGGGCAACACAATACACTTTGCTGTTTTAAGTTCTGAGACTGACGCATTGTTCACTATTGCAGCGTACCCTAGCCTATCCTGACTGCCCCATTGCTTTACTCACAACCTAAAACATGAGCCATCTCATTTATCAAATTTCAAACATTTGATTGTCTCATTTAATTCAGAAAATAGGCATAAAAATTAAACTATCAGTCTTTTTTTTGTTTGGATTTTTTAAAACCCCCAAAAAGCTGAAAAATAAATAAAACGTAAAGTAAATAAAAAGGAACTACTGAAGTATAAAATAATAATAAACTAAAATAGGTAATAAGTCCATGTATGATACCTGCATGCTGGGGAGAGAGCACAGGGCTTCTTGTAGAGGGTGGGAAGATGGCACTGAGATTAGTCCAAAGGAAGGACAATCCAGCAAGCCTCTCTGCAATGGGGAGGCACAGCTAAAGGAGAGTATAATCACAGTGTTCCATACTGGTTCTTCCTTCTGATTATCATCTAATTCACCCCCAAACCAGCATCTTATACAGAAGAGACTGAGGCCAGTTAGGGTGGCTGAGCTGGGCTAGAAGTCTTTCCTCCTGCCTCTCAGACCAGAACCCTCTGCACTCTTCTGTACTTTAAGTCCTTTAAGAATCAAAAGATGGAGGGGTGCCTGGGTGGCTCTGTTGGTGGAGCATCCCTTGATTTCAGCTCAGGTCATGATCTCCTGGTTCATGAGATAGAGCCCCACATCAGGCTCTGCACTGACAGCATGGAGCCTGTTTGGGATTCTCTCTCTCTCGCTCTCTCTCTGTCTCTCTCTCTCTCTGCCCCTCCCCTGCTCATGCTCTCTCTCTCAAAATAATAGCCCATAGTCCATAATAGTGTCTGCTTATCCTAAAGTCTGATCATTTCTGTTATTTACCAGTGAAAACCATTTTTGAACTAGTTATTTATTTCCAAAAAAATAATGTTCATATAATCTAACTCACTTTGTGCACTGTGGATTCTTCTATTTGTAATTTTTAAAAATTTTCTTTTAATGTTTATTTTGAGAGAGAGAGAGAGAGAGAAAGCTAGTGAGGGAGAGACTGTGGGAGAGCGGGGGAGGGGCATAGAGAGAGAACCCCAAGCAGGCTCCACACTGCCAGCACAGAGCCCTACTCAGGGCTCAACTCACAAATATGAGATCATGGCCTGAGCAGAAATCAAGAGTTGGACGCTTCACTGACTGAGCCACCCAGGAATCCCTGTGTACTGTGCATTCTTCTCAGCCTAGGCATGTGGAAACTTCTGGGGGAACCTCTAAGAACAAAATGCCTCTTTCTGGGCTTCAGGGTCTTCTGCCTTTTTCCTTTACCTCAGGTAGCCACTGGCACCATCCCAGTCAGCGTCACTGCTGTCCTGAGCTTGGGCTTCCCTACAATTCATTCAGGCCACCCCTTCTGCCTGGAACAGTCCCCCAACTTGATGTTCTCACAACTTGCTGACTCTTCTAAACCCACCACAAATGCAACTTTTCTGGAAGAACTTCCCAACTTGAAGCTACCCCTACTGCGTCATTACATTGCAAGGAACTTGCCTGACGTCTGCTTATATATAAGTTGTCTAGGCGATTGTGTCATCTATTTATCAGTCAGGTGATTTACTGTATCAGTATTCTGTTCTTACTATTAGACACATGCCCTGTCAGGTACTCTGTGGAAAGAATGGTGAGAAGGGAAAAAAATACAATGTGGGTTTTCTAACACATTGTCCTGTTATCTAGGCTGCCATATGTGGGCAGATGCAGTCCTCTGCGGTATGCGGAATTGGTTTTAGTTGGCCCTGATAACATACTCTATGAAGTTTAGTGGTGAGCACTAGCATCATAAACAGAGTTTCAAAAATCGATCACTCCAGAGAGTTCATGGTATACAAATATGAACAATTACTAGGGATTTTTCTTTGAAAAACATAAAATCCTAAGTAGTACCGCCAGCGAAAAAAAAAAAAAACTTTAAAATTCTTTATTTCACTGTGTAATGAATATAGCATCTTCTCAAGAAAGAATAAACTTTACAATTTCAAGCTTTACTTAAATATCTTTTGCTTGGAAAATTAAAACAGTCCCAACTTGTCATTTATTTTACATCACAGTTTATAAATCAAGTAGAATGTTAATTCATTCTTGGAATGGCAAATATCCTGTCCTAAGTGATTGATGGAAGGACAAAATGCCAAGCAAAATTCATTAGAAAATGTATAATTGATCTATAAAGATGTTGCATTCCTAACTAGCATTACATGCAAAAATGAGGACTTATTTGGAAAATTGCCAAATCCAATACCTTGGGTACTGACCACGTTCGTGTCATTACATTTTTAAAAACATCTGTTGGCAATTTTGTGTCAAAATGGGCTTGTCAAATCTTTTCAAAAGAAGAAATTTTTCTCAAAGCCACACCATCTAAATTACTTTCAGTTTTAACTGTGAACACATGGTGGATTTTAAAAGAATTGTTTCATACTCACGGTAAGTGCAACAGAGAACGTCCTAACAGTTCTATTAATCTGCTCAAATGCTGCAGTGATGCCGAATCAAGAGTGGTCAGGCAAATAGGTTGTCCCCACTCACTATGTACCTTAGCTAAAAACCAGTGTTGCAATCACCAAATAATTTGAATATAGGAAGCTTGATGCTTTTTATTTTCCTTAGATGCCACCAGTTTCTGGCCATCCCAAATGCTCCTCATACAACATCCTAAGGCCCAAGCTGTTGAGTTCCTCCTGGGGGCCTGAAGTCTAGCCAGGCTCACTGAGATATAAGAGAAATGCCCACACATCAGAACCAAGAAAAACCAGAATAAAAGGAAGCTTTCACTAGTGGTAACAGAGACAACCCACTACTCCCCTCTAAAAAAATGATCTTTGAATTTCACACTGAAGATTGAGTGGCTCCTTCAGTATTCTTCTCCCAAAACAAAATAATCCCAACTCCTCTGACCACAAAGTCACATTTTCCCATCATTCTTTAGGCTTTTTGTTTTGTTTATGTAATCCAAACCCCTCCACCTGAGTCTCTGGTTGTGGACTGTACAAAATAGTGCTTGGAGAAACAATGGGCCACACCTGAGTGTGGACCCCTTTCCTGACCCTTGCTGGTAATGAGACCTTGGGCAAATCGTGTAACCTCTCTCTGGCTTCCGGTTTAGTCCTCTAAACTGTGGAGATTGAAGGAGGTAATTCTGTTACAGAAAGCATGTAGCATCATATCTGAAACACAACTCCCCAAAATATGATTTTCCCTCTTTCCCCAAATCAACCCTGTAGTGAAGTCAGTTGTCTATAACTGTGCTGTCTAGTATGGTAATCAGCCACAAGTGGCTATATATATTTAAATCAATTAAAATTACATAAAATTAAAAATTCATTCGGGGCGCCTGGGTGGCGCAGTCGGTTAAGCGTCCGACTTCAGCCAGGTCACGATCTCGCGGTCCGTGAGTTCGAGCCCCGCGTCAGGCTCTGGGCTGATGGCTCAGAGCCTGGAGCCTGTTTCCGATTCTGTGTCTCTCTCTCTCTCTCTGCCCCTCCCCCATTCATGCTCTGTCTCTCTCTGTCCCAAAAATAAATAAAAACGTTGAAAAAAAATTAAATAAAAATTCATTCTTCAGTTGCACTAACCACATTTCAAACAAGTGGTAACTACGCGTAACTAATGGCTCCCATATTAGACAATGGAAATAGAGAAACCTTTTCACTCTAAAGTTATTTTGGATGGTGCTGGTTACCTTACCCACTTGGATTTGGAGGCTTCCAAACATATCAATTTCAGTCTCTAAACTATGTCATGTGAAATCTTTCCTTGGTGACAGTAATAAATGCAACTACTCTATTTCATATCACATCTCTTTTATTTTTTTTAACTAAAAAGTTTATTAAATTTATAAAATTAAAGTTTATTTATTTATTTTGAGAGAGAGAGAGAGCAAGCAAGGGAGGGACAAATAGAGAGGGAGGGAGAGAATCCCAAGCAGGTTCCACACCTGTCAATGCAGAGCCCAGTGCAGGGCTTGAACTCAGAAACTGTGAGATCAGGACCTGAGCTGAAATCAAGAGTCAGACACTCAACCAACTAAGCCACACAGGCACCACCTTTTTATTTTTTTTTTTATTTTATTTTTTCTCCAGCTAAGACAGCTGAAGAGTGGATTTATTGTACATGGGTCACATTCAACCACAAATGAAAACAGAATTAGTCCCAAAGGTCACAGGTCCAAAGCAAAGGATCAAAAGAGACTGTTTTGGTATGAGCAAGGCAAGTCTCTCAAAGGTGGTGGTTGCAATTAGATGGCAATGGATGTTCTAGATCCACCGAATCAAGTTCTAGAAAGTAGGCGTGTAGTCCAACAATTGGTACCAGTGTCCCTGGCATCTGGCTTTCCTTATTTCTGCTCCTGTGGCTCCATGGGTGTACAAGCTAGCGGTTTACTCAGAATTCTACCTCATCTTTCTTCTTTTACACTTCAGCCTGCGCATTTACTTCTTCCTCCACTTGGCTCTCATGGTGCAGAGATTTCCAAGAAGATGGCGCTAAGGCTGAGAAAGCGCCAGAGGCCCCTCACATCTTTTTTTTTTTTTTTTAAACATTTATTTATTTTTGAGACAGGGAGAGACAGAGCATGAACTGGGGAGGGTCAGAGAGAGGGAGACACAGAATCCGAAGCAGGCTCCAGGCTCTGAGCTGTCAGCACAGAGCCCGATGCAGGGCTAGAACTCACAGACCGCAAGATCATGACCTGAGCCGAAGTCGGCCACTTAACCAACTGAGCCACCCAGGCGCCCCCCCCTCACATCTTTTATAGAAAGAACCTTATCTCCAGTTCTGCATCTCAAAGAATTCATTCTTACTAGTTCAAGCTAGAAAGGCTTTCTCCTTAATCTCAGATTCAGAAACCTATCACAGCCATCCCAACCCAGACCTGCATTCTAGAGCCCTTGGCACTGCGGGTGCCCTCTGCCTGGCTACCGAGGATCTGGTGGGGTGTAGGTGTGATGTTTCAAGCCCTGGGTCTTATTCCCATCTCTGGAAACTTGCTGTAGCCGGTGTGAGCATCAGGTAGCTTATGGGCCCGTGCTGAGGACAATGAATTTCTCCCTGAGTCCTAGGTATTTTCAAGGGAGAGATCAGAAAGCCAAATGTTGTATGCAAACAGCTCACTGTCGAGCAGGGCTTCTTTTCTTTCCTTGACCAGCAAAGTGCTTTCCTCCAGGGGTTTTAGGACAATTATTACATTACAGGCCTGGGGACATAGCATGGGAAATATAAAGATCTCTAGGGCTTAACTGAAACAAAAACTAACGTCACCTTAGAGCATGCAAGATGCAGACCCAGGGAACCAGGTGACCCACACTTTCTTCACAAGTGTCCCTGGTTCCAAGGCTCAGAGAAAAGGATCATCTCAGTCACACCTGAGCTTTGGTTAAACAGCTTTCAGTAGTCAAGGATTGATTATCCATATACTCCTCCCAATCCCACCTCCCTTCACTTTCACCTGCTGAAGAGAACAGAAAAGGGATATAGAATCACATTTTCTCGCTTGCTAATAGCTCTAATAATAGGTTAAGAAGGCTAAAGAGTACAATCACGCACATAGCCATTACTGTGTGCCTAGCACCGTTGGAAGCGCTTTATGTATGTACAGATATTAGCAGATGCAAACCATTAGGAGGCACCGCAAAAGTGCAGAGCAGTTGAGTCACGCCTCAGCTCACACTAGTGAAGCTGGGGGTCTGGCTCCAAGTCCAAGCTTCCCACTGTTGCGCTACCAGCAAGAGATGATGGCAAAGAACCAAAGACTTGCAGTTAGAATAAACCCCTCCCACCTCCAGCTCCCTCTTGCAGAGGCAACCACTGTTAGCAGTTTCCAATTGTCCTAGACATTCTGCGCAAATGTCCAGAAAGGAGTTGTGGTGTTACATTCTGTGGCCTCACTCATGTATGAATAGGAAATGTTTTCATCATTTTCCTAATAATTGATATCATCTGTGCTTTCTAATCATTGATTTCATCTGTGTGGGGATGCTTGCAACTGGTGATATCAGGGGTGAGGGACGGGGAGAAAACTAAGTTGTCAATAAAGAGTACTCAGGCCTTTACAAAACAGTCCATCCATCCCAGTGCTTCAGGATGGGACTTTTCGCCATGGTCCAGGTTCAAGTCTCTAGCGGATTCCTTCTCCTCCTGCAGGGTCTTTTCCCCCTCCCACTCCTCCTGATCTGCTCTTCTTAGAGAAGAGCCTGAGAGACTGGAGCTGACAGTTTTCCAGCCTGGGAGCTGTCACTCCTTAAGGACCAGCCTGGCCTTAACCAGCTTAACCTTCACCAGCTGGCTCAGCCCAAAGTTGGTGGGATCTGCCAATAGGGTCTTCTCAAGGTAGGGAGTAGCTGAGGTAGTCCCAGACTGTCCTCCAGTGCTGGCACAAGCAGACCCCTTACACACACACACACGGCAGCCTTATAACTTTGGTTCCTGCTAGTAGTATCCGCCTTAGCAGAAAAATTAGGAATTCTTCAACTGTTATAACAAAATCATGCTCAAGTTGGCTTAAACAATACATTTGGTTTATTGGTTCTTAAAACTCTAAAGTCTAGAGCTAGGGCAGGCTTCAGGTGGGTCTTGAGTCAGCAGGACTTCATTTCACCTTGAAATCATCTCCAAGGACTTGATTTCTTTCCATGCCTCATTCCTGCCTCCCCCCCCCCCCCCCCAGTTGTCTTCACCCTGATGCCTACTTTCCTGAGGGTGGCAAGATGGCACCAGCACCTTCTGGGGCTACAGGCTTCCTCTCAAAGGCGCAGCAAGGGGAGGGCTCGCTCTCTAGAGGAGCAGCTTCCCTCCAAGACCTCACCAACAATTCATGACTCACTCACCCAAATAGGGGCCTGAGTCTTCACCTGAACCACCCTCACCCCCGCAATGACCAGGGGGTGAAGGTCCTGCTGACCACTTACAGCCTCCTCTCCAGCCCCAGCTTTCTGAAGACCTGTCCCAGTTCCAACGTCACTGTGCCACAGGGACCCCCATCAATGCTGGCTGCGTCTCTCCCACTTCTCTCCACGGCCCCCAATTTCACTGTGTGCGAAACCGAAGTTCCAAGCCTTGGAGAACTGAAGCAGGTTCTAAAACCCGAAGGGTTTCGAAATCTCAGCAACTGCAGAGGAGAGAAGCGGGCTCACGGACTGGGCTGGGGGCGCGGCGCAGGGTGGCGGCGGGCAAGTCGTGCTCCCTCGGGGAAGGAGTCTCCATTGCCCCCCTCGTCCCCTGCCAGCGCAGCCGGGGCTGGACATCTCCGGCCCCGCGCCGCTGAGGCGCCGCCGCGTCCCGGCATCGAGCCGGAAAGCTGGGGCCCGGGCGGAGTGGGGCGGGGCGGAGGGGCCCAGGGGCTGGAAGCAGCGCCGAGAGGGCGCGGCCGGGCACGGACCCGAGCTCCGGGCAGCGGGCCGCCCCGAGGGCGGAGGGGAGTGGCCCGCCGCGGCCTTATTTCCTCGAGCGCCGGCGCAGCTCACTTGGAGCCTGTCCGTCGAACGCCGCGCTCTCCTGCGTCCATGCCGCCCCGCCTGCAACCGCCGCTCGCCTCTGGGACCGGGCGCCCGCGCGCCGCGGTTCTGCCGCTCGCGCTGCTGCTGTCGCTCGCCCTGCAAGGGGTGGCGGCGGCACCCGCGGGGGCCGGGGAGCCCGAGGACTCCCTTCGGCGCCAGGACCCGGAGCTCCCGCGCGGACTCCTGGAGCAGGCGGCGCGCGCGGCGCTGCACTTCGTCAACTTCCGCGCGGGCTCGCCCAGCACCCTTCGCGTGCTGGCCGACGTGCTGGACGGCCGCGCCAGGGTGAGTGCGGGCGCCACGCGGCGGCGCACCGTGGGGGCATGACACTTGTGTGCGCGCCTGCCCGCCCAGCGGCGGATCCGAGAGTGGGTCTGTGAGGAGTACGGCGTTGTGGGAGATCGGCGGCCGCGAAGCGTTCAGGCCGTGGAGCGGTCCGTGGTTGTGCGCAGTTCGCAGAAAGCTGGGTGGCCCTTTCGGCATTTATGAGACCATAGATTTTTTTTTACAGGGCAGCTCCCATTCCTGGGAAAGAGGTGCATGGGGAAACTGAAGAACAGGCCCCAAAGGCAAGGCTGGATCTTGTCTGGGAGTACCCAGAGGTGGTTGTGAAGGGGGTGGTCGCTGCGCGGCCCACCATGGCCCCAACAGAAGTCCTGGGCGGGATTTCCAAAAACTATGCCAGTTCCCCTGCGGACCGTGGACGGAGTGCCTTTTAATTGCAGGAGACCCTGCAAGGGCTTCAGGGTAATGTGGTTGGAATTTACGCGTTGGCCTGGGCAGAAACCTTGGTAATACTGGCGTCTGCTTTAAGGGGAGTGAGTGGACCAGAGCTGTTTTCCCTGTGAATGCAATGAATGAGAATTTGGCAGCTCGTTATTTGGTTGCTAATTTACAGGCTCTGGCTGTAGGAACCATGAGATCATGACCTGAGCTGAAACCAAGAGCATGACCCTTAACGACTAAACCGACTGAGCCACTCGGGAGTTCCTATAAATTAGTTCTAAAGAGTGTTCTAGATTGCTCTAGACTTGGTGTCAGATACAGAGGTGGAGAGGACATTTTGGAAACTCAGCCTTGGTTCGTCAAAGACTTAATCTTGTACCTGAGGTTGTTAAATTTATTGACCGCTGAAATAAAATTTTTCCTAGAAAAAGGCAACCTACTCTCCTCACCTGTTTTGACAATCCTTACTGGCTCAGGGAGAAAGTTGTTCAGTTTTACTAGCCCAACAGAGAAGTGCAGAAACAGAGCTTGAGAACTTTCTATCCAAGTAGCCACCTCCCAGAGCCCAAAAAGAGTGTCCCTGAAGATTTGCTCCCTGGTTTTCATTGAGGAGGGTTCCTTACAGAAAACCAAGCTCGGTTTTCAAATTCAGGAATTGTTTTCTTCCTTCCAAAACCATAAAAGCTAAATAATAACACTTTGCTTTTTTATGCATTTAGTCATCCCCTTGAAAGAAAGATTAAATACTTGGCATCTTTCACAAAATAATCAAACTAAGCTCTCAAAACACAAGTGAGTTAAGTAAAAATTCCTCTTCTCTTCCACAAAGAACTCAGTGTTTTTCATCAGTAATAGTATAACGTTCCTGAATTTTAAGGAGATTCTCCTTTTGACGAAAACAAACAAACAAAAAACCGGTGGGGGAGTAAATCAACACATTAGAGGCAGATATGCATGAGATGGGGGAGGAAGAGTTAATACGTAGGGGAATCCAGGGCATTGACCCTAAGAAAGCATAACTTCCTATTGTCATTTGGTTTACCTTTACATTTCTTCTGAAAATGGTTATACATGTTTTAAAAAAATTTTTTTAATCTTTGTTTTTGAGAGAGAGAAAGAGTGCAAGTGGCGGGGGGGGGGGGGGCAGAGAGAGAGGGAGACACAGAATCAACCCAAAGGAGGCTCCAGGCTCTGAGTTGTCAGCACAGAGCCTAATGCAGGGCTCGAACTCACGAACCACCAGTTCATGACCTGAGCCTATCTGATGCTTAACCGACTGAGCCACCCAGGAGCCCCACAAGTGTTTTTAGATCAAGGAGCCAGGAAAGCGAGCTCAGTGACTTTCAGGGCCAAGAATTTCCAGAGGCTAAAGTGTTTTCAGTTTTTCCCAGCAATTTGGTGAAATTTTCCCTCCATTCCTCTGCCACCTCGAAACATCACCACTAAGTGAAGACAGACCCCCCCCCCCTTCAAGGGTGATCAAGGCAGCCAGGGGCAAAGTGTGTCTTAAATTTGTGGCAGTGGCCTGCCAGAGTCCTGCGGGGTAGCAGAAGCAGAGCAGGGGGCGGCTTGAGTGTGTGTGCTGTTTCTACTGGGGAGCTGCCATGGGCTGCCTTTCCAGAATGTGGGTGACCAATTGGTGTGGTGTTGTAGGGAACCCATATTCTAGCCCCTGTTTTACCTCCAGTGAGCCACACAACCTAGAGAAGAAAGATCATGTCTTCTCTGGTTATACCCTCATTTGGAGTGGAAATAATCCATGTTCTGCCGCCCATGCTAGGCAATTTTTAAGAGTTCTTTCTATAAGATGATACAAGTACCAGTGGTAAAGTATAAAAATGTGAGTTACCATTATACTGTCTGAGGGTGATCCATTTATCTATGAGTTATTTGTTGAGCACTTACTATGTGCCAGACACTGGGCTACACATTATGGCCCCAATTCAGATTGGGCTGGGATCATCCGGGAAACCCTCTTTGAGATTCACTCAGTTTTGAAGCAGTGTCTCAGCTACGTGAATGAGGAGCACAGACACCAACCACCTGCATGGAACTTTCAGCATAGTGGCTTAAGGAATTTCTGCTTTAATTACAAGAACAGTCATAGTATGGACAAGAAGTAAAAAAATAGTAAATCCCCAAAACGGGTCTGCATTCTTGATTCAATCAGTGCATTTCCAGAGCGAGTGCTCACTTGCTACACAATGTCCCTCATCCATGACTGAGCCCAGGGTGAGCAGGTGGCTGGGTATGTGTGAGAAGTGTAGCCAGTAGGGAGCCCTCTCCACCCATGAGGTCCCTGCACCCCTTTGTAAGATGAGAAGCAGGGACCAAGTCAGGAGTTTTCAAAATAATGGCCCCCATATTGGGTTAAGAAATCAGTTTAGTAGGTTGTAGATGTTTTAACAAAATTGTTTAGAATACAAACTACTGGAGTGTGTTGCAAAAGTAAGAGTAAATAGTATCTAAGATGTGTTTCAAATATACATGTATGAACTAGGTGATTATGGAGAATGAAATTCTTGATCTTGGTTTCAGCTAAGAAGATTTTGAAAGCCAGTAAACCAAATGATTTTTAAGATCTCTTCTCGCCTGGAAATTTCCTGGATTCTAAGTGATTTCTTAGTTCTGCAAAAATCCCTCATTTTAGAAACACTGTTGCCCTCTCGTGGTGAAATGCAGTGATAGCTGTGGTAGGAAATGTAGCCAAGTTTTGAAAAGAAATCAATGCTAGCTGCTGAAAGAGGCATTCTGGTTTGTTTACGAATTGTAGGGAGAGATCACACACCACAGCTTGTGTTCCTTCACTGCCCTACCTGGTGGCATCTCTTTTCTGGCTTTACACTACCCTCCACCACCAAGGGAACTTCTGTTTTTCTGATACCATGTAGCACAGCCTCATTACCCACAGTGCAGGGTGGTGGGAGAGTTTGGGGTTGATAACCGGGATATCCTGGATCAGCCCCACTCCTGACTCCTCCCTCCCCTTAAGAGGCTGCCCCTTACACTGAGACAAGTCTCAGCAAGTACTGAGACCACTTCCCCTAGCAGTTGATGAGAGGCCAGCCAGCCCTTCCCTGACATTTAAAGATCTTTGTGTGCACATACTTCATGAGAAAGGCACCCATTCAGGAATCAGCCATTGTTTGAGGATTGGTCACTTAGGGTGAATGCCCTCTTACATTTCTTGGTTCATTTGTTTGGGGGAGGGAGGTTAGGCCCATACCCCAAATGTTTCTATTTAAATTAAAATCAATAAATATAAATGAATCACCTATTTTTTGGTACAGGGCAAGGGCCTTTTAACTGTCACCCCTTGCAGTTTCTGTAGCAAGAAAACTCAGCCGTTATGGATCACCCATGTCTTTCCTTTTGGTTTACTTACAGTGCAGGGGAGCGCTTGCAAAGGATACAGCGCATAATCCTCTACTTTTACCCTTTTTTCTTCTTTCTTGCTCAGTCTTGACTCACCCACACCCAATTCAACAGCAAGAGTTTTAGACACTTCATCAATTCCTTCTACAAATTTACCTTGGATTTTGTGGACATGACACTTCTATTTCACACCCACGCTTCACCAGTTTACCTGACACTTAATTTTCAATTAGATAATAGCCACACCTGGCAGGAGCAAGTTTGGGAGCAAAACAATGGACTTTTGGTAAGTCTCGGGCCACCAGTGGGACAGACAGGCTGGGCTACTGTGGGTACCCACCCACAGAGCCTGTCTGCTGAGCCACAGGCATTTAGGAGAGCACTTGCTCTACTAAGAAAAGCCTTCCTTTATCACTTTCCAATCTATACTTTCACTTAAGGAAGTCTCCTAACTGCTTTTACAGCCATCACGAAAGAACCCGGGTGGGATTTGCAAGATGAGCATAGTGTTCCTCACTGCCCTCACCCTGCTCTGGGAAATGAAACCTAATGATCCTGAGACCACAAAACAGAGATACACTCTCTCCTTCTTTCCCAGGCATCCCTTGTGCTGAAAAGGCACAGGTGCACCCAAGGTCTCCACCCAACCTCTCACTACAGCACCCATCTGGTCTGCAGGCTCTGACTGCAGAGTCTGGGTTTAGCGTGGGATGGGAAAGGCCATCTGACCCAGATGATAAACTTAGGCCTTGGCCTCTTTGGCACTTAGCCCCACTCACCCAAGCCAACTGCACCCAGATGAGCTAGTAAGTAGGAATGCTTTTGACCAGCTTGTAATGAATTGTTTTTGAACCATAAACATTTTTTTACCATCCCACAACACTTTCCACTTGTCTCGCCACATGTGGTGTCATAGCCAGGGATGTGTGTGATCACAGATTATGAGCAGCGGCCCCATTTAAAGATCACTGGCGGTGGGTCATGAACCTAACCACCAGGAGTCTGGCTTGGTTGCACATCCTTCCTTGAACAGCCTAGGCTGTTCTGCTGGAGATAGAATATAAATTCTCAACACTAAAATGACTGATTAATGAGGCACAGAATGTTAAATACACACACACACACACACACACACACACACACACAGTGTCCCAAATCCAACCTGACCTTTGATCTCAGTGTAT